ACGATACTTCGAACATTTGGGCAATGCAAATTATACAGACTCAAAATCACTTCCACAAGACTGTGTCGTAACTGGTGTCTGCGCCAAAGCATCTCACTTCGTCATTGTGGCGCATACTTTGTTCTTTTTTAAAATGGCAAACAGTTCATTATGTTGCGAACAGTGCTTATTGGATTTCTATTCTACGTTTCAGCATATTAAAACAAGATCAGCTATTGAATTCGCTAGGGGTAATCGGTAACTGCAGCGGTCACAATGGTGTATGAATTTTTAGATAAATTTACATATAAACCTGGGTGAGAGAGGTGTTCGTTAAAACGACGCTACCCAACTGACTTCTGTATCACTCTATAGGTGCTGACAACCACGGAGATGAGGAGAGAAGAGAGATGCAATGACCATCGGAAACATTTATGGTCATATGATTCATTTCATGAGCTTTTTATTGTTCTTAGAGTATTGCTTATATTTAAGAATTACTCGACGTCTAAAATTCGTTAGATAACAGTTCGATAGAGTCTGTAAATTATCAAATCATGTCAATATCAAGTAGCTTGATACTTCAACTGTTTTGTATGAGACATTTTACGTGCCGTTCTAAAGTAAGATCATTTCATTGTGAACTAATGCAATATGTGTGTAATATGCTAAATTTGAGTATGTTAATACCCAAATGCTGAATTTTTTGTTGGAAATTCACATAGCACGCATACAGATGTTTTCACTGACTATTATTGGAGTCGGTTGCTTGAATATCATGATTATAAGCACTATTTTTCTGTGGTGGTTTCAGGAGTCGTGAAGTCATCTAGCGTAAAGATGATTCCGGACGAACCTCCAAACGATACAGACGTGGCTGACTGCATGAAAAGGCTAAGGGCGAACGATTCAACACTGAAAGTGGTGAATGTGAACAACATGAAAGTATAGTAGATGTTGCCCTCTAAGGCACTCAGTATGACACTGTTTTGTAATTTTATGAATTTCCCAGAGAAGATCTGCGAGAGCTAATTGCGGCAGCGAAAGAAAGCAGTAGTCTAGAAACTTTTTCGCTGGCGAATACGGCCTTAAAGGACGCCGATGCAAAGGTAGGTTGAACTTATTTTTAATTTTGCTACAATTTAAACTTAATAACAATTATTTGCCTTGTAACCACGACATGTGACCTCCTTTAGTCCAGTTGTTATAATTATTATCCCATGTTTTCTTATAATTAGTATATCTCCATGTATCGACTCTTGCATTCCTCTACTTTTATATGCTGTTCGCTGCGTCCCATTTTTATAGAATTCCTTCATTTTGCTTTTCCTATTTCTCCTATTCTTTTGCTCTTCATAATCCAACTTTGGCGTCACATCATGGAGAATGGGTAGCGACCAATGTACAAGATTGCATGGCAAACGAAGTACGATTAAGTGCGTAGCGATTGACTCTTGTATTCTGGTAAGACCTGCAATGAACCCAAAATGTATCGGCAAATAAGTGTGAAGTAGCCATGATTAACAGCGCTTTATGTCTTTTAAAAAAATAATTTTCTCTACGAAAGCCATCAGATTGCAAGTCTAAACGAACTGTTCGTCATAGCCCGTTCAGCAAAAACACGGTGTTTTTTTTATCATACCTTCTCCCTTCTACATGGAAGATGATGACTTAAGGACAAAAAAACACTTGTTTGATTATATCAGAAAATGGAAACAAGATAATACTGTTCATGATCTCTGTGATTGCCTAGGCCTGCATAATGTTGTATAATAACTTCGCCAAAAATTGAAGTTTCATGTTGTCATCCGCGTAAATACAAAATGATTGTTCGTGTTTATACTCTGTGCTTTTAGATGTCAAGGGTAATTTATCAAGCCGGGTAGCTGTTATAGTACTTAAAAGGAAGCGGAAGATTGTTCAGGTGTTAACTTGAAGAATAGAGCTAAGTGATAAACTGATGCTTGACCTAGCAATGACCGTTATCCTTCGCATTGATGTGCTATAGGAGCTGTGATTCGATGGTCCCAGTTTGTGCAAATAGCCACTAAGCCTCCAGGAATATGAGGTCTTGCAGTAACACTGAATAAATTCTTTGATTAATTATTCTCGTCCTCACTAATTTCCAGGCTGCATTTCCTGTTCTAAGAAATTATCATTTGTTTAAAAAGATTACACGCCCCTTAGAAATCCAACCTGGCTTTCCTAGAGTATGGCTCTGACGACTCACATTGCAGGAGCGCGTTGTCCAAAAATGTGTTTTTTCCTCAAAGCAGTCTGACCACCGTCATTTATTAAATTTGCAAATTCGCGACATTATTCAGGATATTCCAACCTGGATCTGAAGATACAGTTTAGTAAAGTTTATTTGTATTTAGCAACCCCACCTACCATACTGATATATGCTGCTAAATAGATAATTGCCAAAAGGAGAACTAACTCATTAGATGTGTTTCAACTGCCTTACTGCTGCAGAGGATGCCTAGCTGTAGGTTAATGATGCTAAATAACGATATTTGGGCGGTTACTCAGGGAATTTACTAGCACGATGCGAATGACAAGAGATCATAAAAAGTTTTTCACACCTGACTGCTCACGTTATTTGAGGGATTTATTCATTAACATTTATCAGTCGGGGACTACAAGTCAGTTATTAGCCTAGGTATCTCGATATTCACCCTTTATTTAACCACTGATAACGAAATAGCGATTGCGGGGGGGGGTAGACAATTTGCAAAATAGCTTATGAGACCGTTAACTGAGCGAAACAGTGATAGAATGAGTTAGTAGTTTGCTTTGTATGCCATGAAGTTATGAAAAAATGACAATTTTGACTCATGCCGACCTACCGATATTAAAAGTTTTTGTACTTTAACCAACTTCGTTTCTTGGCCAATCTTGACTAAAGTGTGAAGTTGAATTTGGCGATATTTACCGCGATTATTTTATGGGAATTGGATTCTTTAGTGCAAGAGTGCTTTCGCGAATTCGATTCATTTGAAATTGCCCTTTGGTTTCTTGAAAATCAATGTAATCTTGTTTCGGTGGTAACTGTAACGTTGATGAAAGCAAAAGATTCTAACCTTAAGTATCTTTTGAGCAAGGTTTTTATGCTATTATTTTCGGCTTTTATTATTTTAAATACATGGTGTTTAGGGTCTCATCGACCTGCTGAAAAGTAGCAAGAGCCTGAAGAACCTGAACGTCGAATCGAATTACTTGACTGGCGAAATGCTGGCGTCACTGCTGCGCGCGAGTCTCGACCAACAAGTATTGATCGAGTTTCACGCAGAAAACCAGGTATCTCAGTGTCACGAATTTTCGATGGCCAGAGTTAAACGCTAACTGAATTCTCTTTTAGCGATCAACGCTGCTAGGAGTACAAGTCGAAATGGAACTTGCGAAAATCATTGAGGAGAGTGAGTCTCTATTGAGGGTA